TCTTGTCTGGCTTCCTAGATTTTCCTTTTCTCTCCAAAAATCCTCACATTTCCTCTATCAGTTATTTCTCTTAATGGTACCCTTTTAGTTCGCAAGCTCCTCCTCCATTTTTTCTTTTCACCTTGTTTGCCTCCACTGACTAGAGACTGGCACAATTCATTCCCAGCATCACGCTCAGGGACCATCATGCTTCTCTTTTCAGATGTGTCTATCGACTCTCTTTCAGTTATTTCTTCTATAACTATGCCATCTGCTTGATGACCTTCATTCCTGATCATACTTTTTCCCGGATCCACAGTTACCTTGCTAATTTCTATATTTTCCTTTTCTTCAATCCCACTTCCCTCTGTGTTTTTTCCCCCATTTCTTTCCCCTTTCTCTACTCTTTTTTCCAGCTCTTTACTTTCTCTCAGAATCTCTCTCCACTTTTCCTCAATTACTGCTTTCTTCTAATCGCTATCCTTTCCCTCCTTGTCGCCCTTTCTACTGCTTGTTTCAACCATAACCCCAGGCCCTTTTTCAGCAGTTGTCCCAGCGCTTGTTCCAGACACTTTGCTTACCGATGATATCACCATATCTCTCTGATTTGCTTCTGTGCCAGTCATTTTCCAAGCTCTCAAAGGGGATACCATTATGTTCCCCGCTCTCATCCATACCCTATACTAACCTTCCCTACTAGACTGCCCTTCACTCCTTTCTCCAGTGCACGACTTGTCCCCATGACCTATTATCCCATAGTTGTAACAAAAATCCGGGCATCACTCGTATTTAAATTCCACCCAAGTATTCACTCCCTCTAAATTCACTAGAGTTCCTCTCAGAAGAGGTTGTAGAACATCAATCTTAGCCATTATCTTCATATGCCTCCCTTCTTTCCCCCCTTGGTGGAACGATTACCTCCCTTGTAGATCTAAACAGTTTCCCTAACTTGAACCCCACTGTTCTACACATCCAGTGGACTGGAAGATTCCAGATTTGTACCCATAAGTGCGCAAATCTAAAGTGGTTGAGATTTCTTTCACACCCAACTTCCCATTCTTTAATCACTAGAATCTGATTATCCATTATCCATGGCCCTCCCATCAGAATTTTTCCACGGTCATCCTTCTTTTCTAGCTGGAATTGAATAGGTTTGGTCCTAACTCAGTTACAACCATATTTCTCGAATACCCCTAAACATAACTGGTAAAGTTTTTTACCCCAATGAAATTTGCCACCTTTTCTCCTATCAACCTTCCAACTAAGCTTCTGCTACAATCCTGGACCCCCTCTCTTATATCATTAGAGCAGAGGTCCACACCCACCAGCTCCGACTTAGAGAGCTCAAACTTGCTAAAAGCTCGAGTTAATTCTTTCTCCATCCTCCAGAATCCCAGCTACATTGGTTCTACCTTTGCACTATTTCCCTTCTTAGAAGCTCCAATCGATTAAACCTGCAAGACAGAGTAGAAGAACACTACGTAAGGAAAAGTTCAGAAAACCTAACAAACTGTGCTACCAAACCTTAGAAACCCTCTAGCTAGCACACACAGTATCAGCTATACACACAAACACCCTCTGTGGGTATCAGCCTTCCACAGTTCTCAGGATCATGGCTTTTTTCACATTTGAGAACAGAGGATTTAGCTCGAAGATTGAATTACTATTTCTATTTTTGGGTGTTTCAATTGTAGGGAAGTTGAAAGGTCACTATTGTTGGGTTTGAAAGTTCAAATGTTCTTTCTATTTTGGGTTGCCACTAACATTCAAATTTTGGAATCTCCTATTTGCAGGAGAGAGGCTCTCAAACTAGAGAGAAGTTTGTGACTAAGATATTTTTTAAAATTTTGCATTTTTTAATATTTTCGAATTTTAGTAATTTTTTCAAATTTTTTGGAAATTTTCATATGTTATAATGTGCGTATCACCTGATATTCAACCGATATGCTGCGACGGATGTGGAACAATTGAGACCGCGACCCGCGATGGCGAACCATGCTATAAATTGCTTGGTTTTGATCAGCTTCGAGACAAGTATGTCATTTTCGGAGGTTTTCTTCTTCTAGGTTTCTGGACTATTTCCTACTTCCACATATATGTATATATATATATATATATATATATATATATATATATATATATATATATATATATATATATATATATAACACATTTTTTCTTAGACAATTAGAATTGTGCTTACTGCTTACATTACTAATCGTTTTGTTTTGTTCATTTAGATGCCCGTGGAAAATTGAGCCGATTTCATGAAATGAAGAAAGAATGGGGCTTTGTCCGATTTCTTTCATGCAGTGATTTCGAAGACACTACTCAAGGATACCTTTTCAATGCTAAATCTGTATTTGGAGTTGAGATTTTGGTTAATAAATATGCTAAAGGAGAGCGTGCAGTTTTGCCACAGAAACTTAGTGATACCACTTACACTTGGCGTGTAAGTAATTATTCTACTTTACGCAGTAAAATCTCTTCTGATGTTTTCATCATAGGAGATTGCAAATGGTATGGATTCTACTAAAAAACATCAATTACAAATATCATGTTATGGATGAAAATTGGTTTCTAACAACATACAACACGGCGTTTCTATTGGCAATAGTTAGTGATGAATCTCACATTGAAAGTGTATAAAGAATGGAAGAGGTTATGAATTCGTTTTAATATTTCTTTTCAAATAAACGGTTTCCTTTTATGGGTTGTATCTAATGATACAACTCATACAACCGTTAAGTGTACATTCATATTAAAAAAGTGCGTATTTATGAAGAAATATGTTTCCAAAAGACATGACATTTCTTTTGGGATATCTAAATGTTATAAATAAGAGTGATTAGATATCCGAAAACTCACTTTTACTTTGGTTTTACTATTTTTCTACTTGGTTCAAAACAATATTCTCTAAACTGTTTTTGTGAGAATTTTTGCATACTATTGTGTGGAAATTCTAGTCACTACAAGAAATTTAGCCTTTTGTAACAACATTTTCAGTGACAACAGAAAAACTTGTCACAATTGAACAAATTCGGTGACGACTTTGATGTCGTCATAGTTGACCGAGGGTAAACTCATCATTAGTGACAACACGAGATTAGTGGTCACAATATGAGTGGCATGCAACTAGTCGGTGTGGCGAGAAATCACCATTGTGACGACTTGCAAACACGTTGTCACTGAAATGGGCAATACAATGATTACTTACAATGTCATCACAACAATTAGTTCCGAATTAGTGACAACAATTAGTCGTCACTATCTAAAGTACTTGTTCCTAACCCACTTTCATTAATTTTACTATGCCACCCTAATTTTTTCAATATAGCCCCAAATATTACAAATAAATTTTATTAATTCTATTATGGCACCCTAATTTTTACATTTTAACCATGTATATGGTAAACTAATTTCATTAACTTTACCATGACACCTTATCTTTTGGAATTTAGCCTTGTATGTGATAAACCAATTTCATTAATTCTATTATGGCATCATATCTTTATAATTTAGTCTATGTTTCTCATTAGTAAAATGAGGATAGTAAAATGAGGAAGGTATTATAATAAAAAATGTATACATATGGTATAATTGTTCCAAACTTAGTTAATAACTTGTTATGAAGGTTAAAAATATTATGGATTCCCTATCTAGTTCTCTTGACAACACATGGAAAATTAGTGATTAGCATAGTATGAAAATAATGGCAAAGAACAGTAAAATTTAATATGAAATTAAGTAAAATCCTCACAATTGCATGACTAGAGTTTATTATTAATTACAATAGTCAAATTGGTTATGTCTTATGAATCGGTACTTTTACCAAATACATTTAGTGTTTCATGCATGTATTAGTAAACTATTTTGGTTATTTGATCAACTAAACTAATTGTTAGGTATTATTAGACCACAATTCATACATAATTGATAAAATTATAAAATTGATGCAAAAATATTTGTATTAAAAGATTTTTTGAATAATAAACATCTATTTAATAAAATTTTTAGTTTTTGAACATTATTTTGTCATAGAGATTCAAAAAAAATCCTATGTTAGTAAAAAAAAAAATCCAAAAATATTAAAATTTCATATTCTAAAGTTTTAATATAACAAATAAAGTTTTAATACAACTTGTGAGTTAAAAAAGTTCAAAATAATAAACAATCTTAATTACACATAGATAGGAAAAAAAAAGATATCAGAGAAGGCGTTATTTTTATAAAGAAAGGTTCAAATAGTTTGTATAAAAAAGGATGAAAGCGTTACTTTTTGTGCTAAGTTAAAATGGAAGCGGGAAACTGAAAATTCAAGATGTAGATGCGGGTGAACAAAATGAGATAGAAACGACGTCGTTTTGGCAAGAGTTAAACTAAAACACTCACAACACTTAACATTTCTTCTCTCTTGTTGAAAATTTTCAGACCGCATTTTCTTTCTCTCTCGTTGAAAGTTTCGGGCATTATCATCTTCTCCATTTCTTCTTATGCTTTACTGTCATCTTACTGAAATTATCCACAAAATCACTTTAAATCACCTTTTTCATCCCTAATTTGAGCTACCCAAAGGATTTGGGCAACTTTAGTGACCTCGCAAATAGCAAAAATCCCTAGATTGGTGCTGCACTTGTTACTGGCAAGAACACAGAAAATTGGCCGTGAATTTTGGGGGAAAGCCAGAGTTCGAAGACTGAATCTTAAGGAAAACAAGAGCTAAGGGAGTGAAGGCATAATTTGAGGTATATAATCTCAATATTTTCCATCTAATTTCGATATTTTTTTTGTCAAATGTAGGTCGGATAGACTGAATCTTGAGTTCATGGGTCAAATTTTCCACTTAAATCTTTCAATGGTGACATATTTCTTACAATTACCTCATCTTTGTTCTCTTCTTCCTTTTTTTGGAAAATTTTCAGAGAGTAGATTGATATATCTACCGTCTAATAATGAGTTTGAGAGAGGATTAGGAGCTCAGGAACCTGATGAGAACTGGTTTGATATTTGAAGTGGCAGAGGAGTTCGAATCGAACTCTAGATATGTTGAATCCACAATTTCTTATGGTAAGTGACCTAGTATTTTATCTCTTTATTTTTACCCTTGGCATCAATCTCCAGCATTTTAGTTGTTTCTATGGTTTTGGTTTGGGTTGTATTATCGGTTTTTATGTCTGGTTGTAGTATTGTCCAAATCTGTTTTGATTTATATTGAATTAGTAATGTCTTTGAGATAAATATGCCTCTTTAACGCTGTTATTCTAGTCATCCTTGTACTAATGTCTTTGTAATTTCAAATACAAGTTGTCTTGGGAACATTGTTGGCTGCTTTGGTCCCTGTTCTGGGCTTTAATCCGGTCATGACATCCGAGTATTTTGCTTCATTTTTGGTTAGTTCCAACTGGCTGGTTTTCCTGTCATTCTTGCTTTCTCATTCACTATTACTGTAGTCAAGGATTCGCTTTTACTTATTTTATGCATCTCAATCTTTTTAAATTTATGCCTTATGTTGCTCTTAATCTCTAATTTTACTTTTCCATTCTTGGGCATGTACAGGTGTTTATTATTATTCATGTTGTAGCTATTGTTTACTATATTAAAGGGATTCTGTCACTAAGAATGTTAAAAGTGGCTGTACGCTTGTGTTTTCACTTGGCCTGTAAGTGCCTTTACTTGTAGTTTGTAAAGAAATTTGCTTGCTGTTATATTGTGTAAGTAGTAGCTAAGAGTTTCATAAAATTTTTTTGGTTGACTTAATTACTTGTCATTCAAATTTCAGGGTAATTTGCTGTGCCATGGTGACTGTACTTATAGCATTAGTAGCCTCCCGCCCAACTAAGGGTTGGAGTGTGCGTAGTCTAAGTCTGCTTGATCCGTGAGTCTCTTCTGTCTGTCGAATTCTAGTTGCGAGTTCATGATTTGCATGGAATCTATCTAAGTAGTTTCAAGGCAAAAGAAGTAACCAAACCTGAAATTTGATGCTTTAACTTTATCCATATAGTTCTCTCTGGTGGAGTGGCTACTCATATCCAATCTATCTTGTTTGCAATTGCAGGCATGCTTTTTGCCACTTTCTGATTTACATAGTTACATTAGTATATTTTTCAGGTGTCATGGTGAGATTAATTTGAAATATGTAAGCTTAATACTATTCTCTCTTGGCTTCCACTATGTTGAGCAACGTTCTTTTTTGCTGTTATAGGTGCCACTAATGCTTGTACTTGGTCCAGCAGTATGGAAAATGCCTGGAATTTCTCTTTCAGGAGCTTTTGATGTTCTTACTCATTCGCTCAAACTTCAATTGCCTAGTACATTAGAAATTTTTACATCTGATTAGAGAAGGTCTTTGGTTTTACCTGTTGAAGCATCTGTCATTGCTATATTTTTACTAGTTTTGTTGGTTGCGTTCTATGTGGTATGTATGCTTAATTTGGTCTAGTAAAAGAGGAATTCTTTTATCTTTTTGTTTGTTACTAGTTTGCTGCTCATGACTGAGAAAAACCCAATTGTAGCTGTTATGAATGTGGTAGCATTTTTTCCCATAATAAAAAGGTCTTGTCAATGTAATATTTAGACCTTTCTTTTAGTCGTGCCATTCTGAATTACACATTGTTTGCAAATTTAACTCAAAATACTGTAATATAACCTGTGAGTGCTTTCTGAAAAGTTCGCAAAAAGATTGAGATGAAAGCAACACTTAAAAGTTTGGTTGTACTTTTTGGTCCTTATGCTGGATTTCCATGTTGTTCTTTGGCTTCCTGGTTGAGCTCTTCACTGTTTACAGATGATTTTTCATGTAGGTTCATTGTGTCTGGGCAGCAGCAGAAGCATGTTCAGTACCCTTCATAGTGCTAACAAGTCAATCTCATGATGGCCTTCGCATTTTTTGTGACTTCAAAGAGGCCTACGCATGGTTGAGCCATAACACAGATGTAGATCATAAAGTGAGTTGTCATTCTTTCCACAATATATATCTTCACAAATTTTAGTAATTTTTGTTGCACCTAGTGTATAGAATCCACACAAACCAAAGCCATGAATAGAAATTCAAATGGAAGTATGAACCAGTGCCACAAGGCAAGCTGGATGAAGTTAGCTACTCGAAGAAAGAGAAAACCTTCTGTACATAAGGATGAAATCTGCAATTGGCAATGCTGTTATATTGGATCTCTGTTTTCCTCTTGAAGTATAAGCCTTTGAATAAGGAAGGGTTTTGATGTATGCTTGGTGAATTGAAACTAGTATCTTAGTGAGACCTTAAGCACTTGAGGATGATTTATTGGAAAAACAATTGGTCAAGTTAAATGGAGTTCCTGGAATAGTTGATAGTATTGGATTCTTTTCTACAAAACAGAGTGTTAGCTTGTATTGAGTGCACTAACAAAGCACATGCGCATTCTTATTTTGTTAAGAAAAATTATTCAGGTTATTATATGAAAACAAAAGCGTAGACATTGCATGATTTTCAAAGCATAGGCAAACTGGAAAAAGCATCCCGAAAGGCACATGTTTAGTAATACATAGTGCTCTTGTAGACATTGCATATTTAGACATTATCTAAAAACACTAAACTTTCATATTCTAAAGTTTTAATACAATTTGTGAGTTAAAAAAACTCAAAATAATAAACAATCTTAATTACACATAGATGGGAAAAAGAAAAGAGAGATATCAGAAGAAAGGTTTTTTTGTAAAGAAAGGTTCAAATAATTTGTACAAAAGAGGCTAAAAGCCTTAATTTTTGAGTTTGACATTGTAAAAGAAAAATGTGTCCCGAAAGGCACATATTTAGTAATACATAGTGCTCTTGTAGACATTGCATGTTTAGACATTATCTAAAAACACTAAACTTTCATATTCTAAAGTTTTAATACAACTTGTGAGTTAAAAAAACTCAAAATAATAAACAATCTTAATTACACATAGATGGGAAAAAGAAAAGAGAGATATCAGAAGAAAGGTTTTTTTGTAAAGAAAGGTTCAAATAATTTGTACAAAAGAGGCTAAATGCATTAATTTTTGAGTTTGACATTGTAAAAGAAAAATGTGTGACATTGTGAGAGTTAAATATTAGAGTAGTCTTGTTGATATTGCTACTTTGAAAGATTTATTTTGTTTGATTGCTCATGCTTGAACAGTTAAAGCCTAGTGTCATTTGATAAGAGGTTCCTAACTCCTTGTCCAATTCAAGAATCTCCTTTTGAATCTAGTGCTAGCAACTAGATAATCCAATGATTTAAATCTCATTCAATCAGAAACTTTCTACTTGACTTCATAAGGGGAAAATGATGTGAAAGTATAAGTTTTGATAAGTAATTGCGTCTTTTCACAAAATCACCACTCAAAAATCATGGGCAGCTATAAGAGAGGACTACCAGAAACTATAGTCAGCCAAGCAAAGCACCAGAAAGCTAACTAACAACTACCAATGTGCATAATGCAAAGCTAAGACTGTCCGGCTACCAAACCACCACACTACACTTTTGTCTACAGCTCATTAGTAGCCCTTTACTTGGGCATTTTGTAACTAGGGGGTTGTACGAGGAGTTGATTGACCAAATGAAAGACTTGCACAAATGACAGATTGTTGGAAAGGTGAGCAAATAAATTTTTTGCATTTCCATTCTCTATTGCAACTATTGTCTTATTAAAAATTACATAGTTTTCTAGAAATTTGGTTTAGATACAATGGAGTATTGAAAATATCACAATGCAATGCATTGGGAATCATTTAAAATGGCATGTAGATGGTAAGAAACTCAATTCATTGTTAGTTTCTTGTACTTATAATCTGAACTTCTTGTCAACTTCTTGTACATAGCTTAAATTGGCATCTAAGCTCTCATGTGTTGGATTTTTTTTACCTTTTAACATGCTGATTTTGTTTGAGTTTTGTTGAGTATGACTATTCATTCAAATTCAATGGTGTACATTTGTAATGGCATATTTTCTGATTGAAATCTACTCTAATGCATGATACTTTTGTTTCAATGCAGTACAGTGCCGTTAAATTCTCATGAGAAAATGAACAAAAGTTTGGATTTTGGATATGCTCATGAAGATGGCTTCATTTTGACATAGATTGCTACCGTAGTCCATGCTTTTGTTTAGAGATTTAGTACTCTTATCTTTTGGATGGATAATGGTTGTTACTATTTGAGCTGATGTGGGATCAATACTTGAGTTTTTTAGATGGATAATGGCTGTTAGAACTTGAACTGATGTGGCCTTTGGGACCTATTTTGGTTGATGTTTGTTTTTGTATATCTCAGTTCATAACTTTTGATGATTACAAAACAATTGGATGTTACTAATATTCTTTGAAGAGATTGTTTCAGGATTTGGAACAAAAACAAGGTCAAAGACTTAAAGCCAAAACAGGATTAATGTTTGGCAAATTACTGAAATAGCTGTCGGACGCACAAAAGGACCATATCGGACGGCCGACAACCATTGATAACTTCGGACGCATGAAGAACTCACACTCGGACGTCCGAAGGTAATATGCCAAAACCTCTATGATCACTGACCTCGTTCGGACACACAATACCTCTATACCGGACGTCCGACAAACGTTGCTATACTTTGGACGCAAAACACTGGAGCATCGGACGTCCGAAAGAAATGAAGAAGGATTTGCAAGTTTACTTTCGGACGTATACTGTGGAAGGACCGGACGTCCTAAGAATCACAAGAAATTGTCTTGAACTCACTGTCTTCGTTCGGACGTAGAAAATCAGAGTACCGGACGTCCGACACTACCAACAGCTAGTTGACTTTCCAACTGCCTTCTATCCGTTGAAAGCATTAATTGAAGAATTTTTTGATCTCCTATAAATTGGGATTAGTCAACTCTTCAAAAGTACTTTTACACATTAAGTCTACATCAGATCTTGAGTGATTCAAGTGTATGAATACTCCAAAAAGAAGATTTGTAATCTTGGTTGTGTAATCTTCATTTATCTTTTCAAGTGTGATTCAATTTCTTCAATAGTGTAGCTTTGTGAGGGTTATCCGTGTGATTGTAAAACTTCCTTACTTGATCGAGTGAGACTTGAGGCAAGGAGAAAGTGATACTTCCTTTGTACACAAGAGATTGGTTGAAAGTTGATCAACTTGAAAAAACTTGGTATATAAAGTGATATTCAAACTTAGTCAAGTTTGAAATTTGGTTTGCAATTCCATTCCTTCATTTACTGTCTTACTATATATATTGCTTACTTCATTTACTCACAAATTACTTGTACTAGTCCATCAATTGCTTCTCAGTGAGGTTCTTTTGAAAAAGAAAGCAAGTTCGAAAAATGTGATTCATATCTTGGCTAGTTTTTTTTTATTATAACCTAATTCACCCCCCTCTTAGGTTGTCTTCGATCCTTACAATTGGTATCAGAATTTGGTCTCCTAAAAATTAAGGTCAATCGGCTTGGGAGTAATAATGACAACCAACAATGTCATGTTCTTTGAGAGACAATCTGTCACTAGACCTCCTATGTTCAATGGGTTAAACTATATGAGTTGGAAGGAGAGGATGATCATTTTCTTACAATCTATCGATATTGAGTTATGATTTATTGTTAATGAGGGTCTATATGATGCCTCTATTATTGATGATGATACCCATAGACCGAGACCGAAAACAAGAAGTGAGTTGACCGCTGAAAATAGAACTCATCTTACTCTAAATGTCAAGGCTATGAATGTATTATATAGTGCTCTAAATTCAAATGAGTCCATCAGAGTCAAAAGCTGCAGATCTGCGAAAGAAATTTGGGATAAATTTAGAGAAATCCATGAAGGAAGCGAGAATGTGAGAGAGCAAAAGAAGTCCATCCTGGTCACTAAGTATGAATCCTTTATGATGGAACCACATGAAAACATTGACAAGATGTACTGCAGATT